CTCCGGGAGGAGGAAACGGGAAATTTCCGGTGCAGGAGAACATTTCATCGGCTCCCGCAGCTGGACTCCCACCTGAAAAACTGTCCCAGCTGGCATCATCTCTTCTCGGACAACAGGGGCAATTTAGTCAATCTGGAAACCCGTTTGTTAAAACATCACAGTATTATGCGGCACAGAATAACGAGCAGGGGCTTTCGGATTTGGGGCAATCACAGTTTGGTCAAATGCTGCAGCAGCAGCAGCAGCAGCAATCGGCAGGGTTAGGTTCGTCTCAGGCAAGCCAGCAGCAGTTCCAGAATCCCGTGCAGGACGATGATAGTGAGGGCGACCCACAGAAACGTCTGCAGGCGACCCTCCAGCTAGCTGCGAGCCTTCTTCAGCAAATTAAGCAAGGGAAAGGAAAATGAAAACAGAAGAATGTGAGACAAGGAATTGTGGTTTGTTGATATAAATTTATGAAGTTCTTGAATATCTACCTTCTGTATTTCTGTTCCTTATTTTCCTTCTAATTCTTGTGGTTACTGGTTTATAAGTGGTAGAAATGGTGGACAAAATTGGAAGGCCAACTGATGCGAGTATATGTGTATTTCGAACTTGAGAGCCTTATCTCAAACATTTTAAACATGTTAAGACATTAATTTCCTAATAATTATTCTCTATGCTTCAATTTTTATTATTTTTTATTCTTAGTTTATTCTTTTCCCTAATATATGATTGCATTATTATACAACTAAAAGAATTTATTTAAATTGACATAATTAGCAACAAAACATTAAATCTAAAAACGAAAATAAAAGTAACTAAATGGAGTTGTTTTTGACATTTTCTTGTGTTTAGGCAATGAATACAAGGAAAAATACTACGGTCCCGTTATAGAATTATCATGTCGGGTGTTATAACCCTTGGATACACATGTTGTTAGTATAAGATAGATGATCTAATAGTTAAAACACACGACGGGACAATATAAGATAGATGATCTAACGGTTAAAACGTCCGACGAGACAGTTTTGTAACAAAATCATAACATTTACTCACCACAAATATGAACTCCCCATGCATTTTCCAGACATTTGAAATATAGTGTTACAAAAGAGTGAAAGACACAACTTTCATTATAATAATAATATAATATACATAAAAAAATTACAAAATGATTCCGTGAGAATTTTTAATCATTAAATACACATGTAATTTCCATGTATCTATAATATCTAATGGCTAAAAACGCTCACGGGATTGCAACTTTTCCCTTACTAAGATACCAAATTACACAAATTAACCTCCACAGCCACCGCAGCCTCCACAACCGCCGCCACCGCATCCCCCGCCGCCTCCTCCGCCGCTGCAGCAGCACCCTTGGGAGGAGCTGCCGTCACTATTCCGGTCAGTCGTTTGGTCGTTGCTGGCGGCGGCCACCGCCACAGTCGCTGCACCCACGGCGGCACCCGCTCCGGCCAGAACCACTATATTCCCATCCTTCAAACTGCGATCGGCGGTACCCTTTGACTTCCCACCATTGACGTCGTGCGCATAGTTACCAGGCAGCGGCCAAGCACCACGCGATTTGGCATCTGCGGCCACCGGCCGCTCGTCGATATTCCCTTCTTTGCGGCCCCTATTGCGCCGGACACAGCAAAACATGATGATGATTGTCTTATTCTATATAGAGACACAGACTGACTTATACAGATTCTGGGATTTGAGCAATTCAAACAGATGTTTGACTAATGCATATATCTGTTTAGTCAACTAGGCACTGCCTTGTGAGTGTGTAACTGTTTGGAAACTTGGAGGAACTTTAGCAGAAAAATCATCAACATACCCTTTGTTGTTTCCTCAATTACTTACGGATGTTGTGTTTAAGGTGGTCCCAAAGGATAACTATTTGCTTATCCATTTGGTTTTTATCGGCTGTGGATATGATGTTGTCAGCCACCCCAAGAAATCAAAGAAGAGATTACTCATAATTAGCCTTAAAAACAAAGGTATACAAGAAAAATCTCATTTTTATAAGTGAATAGATTATGTTGTGAGAGGATATTATTGTAAGAGTATATGAAGAAAGAATATTATTGTAATGAGTGAATGAAGAAGATTTGAAATTGAAAATAACAAAATTAGATATTTCTTGAACAACTAATTAAGTTTGCGACTGGGTTCGATGAAAAACGTCGTCGATGTCCACATTCTAATATATTAAGAATAAAATCATAACCCAGAGGAATCTATAGTTCGGATCACGACTTTACGATTTAAAATATTTGCCGCCTCTAAAAAGTTACTAATTTCAGTTGATGGAGTTCGCTTGAACTTGCTCGTTGAGTCGTCGTGCCGCTCGCCATCACCACTTCACGTTTCCCAGTGTACGAATCACGTCTCGCATCGCCATGGGCTTGCTGGACTGCAATCGGATTGCACCCGGGCTGTTGGAGGTGGACCGGACACACCACGACTCGCATGGTGCATGGACAACTCTCCTGAGGTTAAGGGTGAGCAACGGTGTGGTTTGGTGATAACTGCACCGAACCACAAAAAACGGTAAACCAAACCTCACCGAAACTTAAACAAAACGATCCAAAGCCGAACCAAAATTTTCTTACACTAAAATAACCTAATCGAACCGCACCAAAATGCACAGTTCATTTTTCGGTTAATTCAGTTTTTTTTATACATTTTATTCAATTTGGTGCAGTTCAGAGCGGTACCGAACTTATAAAAAAAAGTATAACCGCACTGCAACGCAATATAGGAAAAAACAGAACCAAAATTTAATACATTAAAAAAAATTAATCGAACCGCACCGAGTTGCACGATTCGACTCGATTTTTCAGCTTCGGCTCGATTTTACTCACTCATACCTGGGGTTCACTGGTGTGCTGGTGACCGAGACTGCATGGATGAGACTTCACGAGGTCTGTGCATTGGTGGCCGAGATAGGTCGCTCGAGGACGCTGGGAAGCATATGAGTCGCATAGAACACGCGGGGCGCACTGTAGGTACATGCGGGTCACACTGGGGACATGCGGGTCGAGTTGGGAAGACGCTGTCGCGCTAGGAAGATGCGAGTCCCACTGCAGGAGACGTAGGTCGCGTTGCAGGTGACGCGAATTGCGCTGCTGACACTAGGGACACGTGAGTCGCGTTGCCTGCATGCGCAGGACGCTGCAGATCTGTTGCCTTCGTGCACTGTTTGCGCTCGGGAGTGCTCCTTGCGTGTGCGGTATGCATGCGTACGTGCACGAGTCACTCACTAGCGTGCAGCCTCCGTGCGTGGTCTGCATGCGGGAGTGCGTAGTGGCAATGGGGCTCTGGCATCGGCATGTACGGCTGCGGATACTAGTGCGGGGCACACCGGTGGATGCGATTTCTTTTGGTGGTAGTGCTCTCCAAGTTACGTGGTCGTCCGAGATCCCAGAGGATACATATTTGTAAGTATTTGTCAGGATGCGAAAACGAAACCTTGGGATCTTCTGATGTATGACATTTACAGGTTCCCCGAATTGTCTTGGTGGAGCGGAGCGACTAAACGGAACTTCCAAAGCCTCTAGATTTTCTCTCTTATGACTTCTCGGTTTTATTCGAATTTTCAAAAGACAAGACAAGATCTATTCTACACGAGTTTATGCGTGAGAATCTTTGTGTGTGTGGAGGCTAAGGCACTTGGTAGGCTAAATCAGAGACCCTAAGAAGATGCTAAATATGGATTTCCCAAGTAGAAATATAGAACATTGTGTTCACACCTTATTCCTACTTGAATAATAGAACATTCTACTAGAGTAATATTAATTTACTCTCTATTTAGCTCCAAATTACAATTAATT